TGCTCTGACTGTACTATGTCCCCTTTCTCATTCCTAGAATTGTTTAGTCATGTTGCTCTAAATATGGTTATGCTCATTTCTACCATTTTAGTTTCTGTTCTTGTTATTTCACTGATTTTACTTTATTTGGATCAATTCAGCTGTCCTTTTTCTCATTTTTCAAGCCCTCAGGAGACAAGAGCAGACCGGGACACATGGAATTTTTCTTACATTTCAGAACTGAGTCCCGCTCCTGTTGCAACAATGAGAATGTCTCTCTCTTCTCTTGTCTCAACATTTGAAGATCATCTATTACAGGCCATGCACTGAGATGTCCAGATTCTACGCCATCCAGCCCCTAACTTCTTCACATATCAACACACGCATCCACTCCCCTAGCCCTTCCCCCACTTTAGCTTCTGAGTCTTCCTCTTCCTCCCTTTCCCTGAACATCTTCCTATTCCTCCTTTCTATTTGAGTCTTTCAAAACCCCACCAAGGTACACCATCTTCAAGAAGCCCCCTTTATTGAAGGCTGACTCTACTCATAGCTCCACAGCTAGCCTCCAAGCTCCTTTAGGATCCACGCTTCCCCACACTCGAGATACAAAATCAAGGAAGAAGTATAATTTTCCCAACTGTGGTCCCACGTCGAATTCTTTGTCAGGGGAAGGCAGGAGATCATCATTGACATTCCCAACAAGACTGAATTCAACAGGAAGAGTAAATGCCACAAGAAAATCAGGGAGAAGGAGTAGATAGCTCAAAACTACAGATGTCCTAGCCATTTAATACCCAAATTCATATGAGAATAGGCGGTTTGTTGGTCCTAGTTTTTCCGAGAGTGCCTTTAAAGTTTCACCATGAAATATAATGTTGGCTGATGATGGTCTGTATCACATGATGAAAATATCCTTTTAGTCCAAAATAAACTTTTCTGATCAGTAATAGAAATTAAATCAAACACATTTTCAAGCACCTATTAAATTGCTCTTAAGACTGCTTTCTGGTTTGAATTTTGACTCTGACACCTACTGTTAGGAAAGGCAGTCTACCATGGGCCCTGAGCATCTATGCACATTCCTGCTGGGTATGCCAAGAATGTAAGGCCATGGCTGCTCTTTACCTGGGCCATTTCTTAACGATATGTTTTGCAGTGAGCAACCTTGAAGGATGAGATAAAGTCTCCTCCCAGACTAAAAGGCGGCTTACTTCTGTTTGCTTTAAAGATGTTGAACTCTGCAAGCTCAGTGTGCCTCTCCTGTAACACTGTAACACACTGTGTGTGCAGGCATTCCTCATGGGCCCTATGCCACCCCCATGGGAATGTGAGGCATAAGAGCCAACATGAACATGAAGCTCTCTTTGCTTTACCATGAGTAATGAAGTCCTGGGACTCTGACACAGGAATTTCACGTCCTCTGCCAGCATCCACGAAACCATAACAGGCTAACTCGTTAGCTCGAAAATAGGGTTAACTCTCAGACCATGCATAGTTCTTAACACATATTAACTGCATGACCTTGGACAAGTTAATTAAACTTTCTGAGCTTTTGTTTCCTCATCAGCAAAATGGATAATAACAGCGTTTACCTTGTAAGATTGGTATAATGATTAAATGGATCAAAATGCCTGAAATATTGTGTGTGCTCAAAAAATATTAGTCATTATTTGACATTATAATTGTCCTCCCCTGTAGTGTTCATGGGGGGGCACTGCAGAGACAGATTCATACTATGACAAACGCTGTTGCCCTGCCTCCGTGAACTTAACATCTTCACATTGTTTTACTTTTTACATATATTCCTGAATATAATCTGCCCATCTTCTCATGGCTGGCTCCTTCTTTTCCATCAGGTTTTAGATTAAATATCATTTCTTCAGAGAGGTCCACACTGGCTAAGTAGGTTCCCACTGTTATTGTCCGTTATACCATCTTGCCCATTTCCTTTGTAGCACTTGTCATGATTTTTAATAATTGCGTTTGCTGACTCATTTTTTTATTATCGCTGCTAGAATACAACCAACAAAGTCAGGAACCACATCTGCCTTCTTTATTATATTTCCAATGCTTCGCCCAGTCCCTGATACGAAGTGGCTGCTCAGTAGATTTTGCTGGATGGCTGGGAATCTAGATGAACCGATTGATGAGAGGATAAATGGATGGGTGGGTGGGTGGGTGGGTGGATGGATGGATAAGCAAGCTGGTGCTCTATACATGTTTTCTGGATAAATGATGGATGCATGTGTGGGATGATGGGAAGATGGAGGGATGCGTGGATATTTGGCAGGTCAGATTTTCAGCTCCAATCCACTAGGGGGCGCAAAGGGACAGCTTGCGCGGGTTCAGCCCAGGGAGACGCGGCTCCAGGCCGCAGCCCGCACGCCAGCTGCATTTCCGCCGGCGGGTGGAGGGCGTGTCCTGATCTTGGGGCTCCTGTCCCGAGTTGTCCCGAACTATCCCGTAGCTTCCCGCGTCGTCCCCTCTGACCCCGCCGCCGACAGTCCTGGCGCCCTGGGTGAGTCACTGCGGGACCACGTCGCACAGGACCCTCCGGCGGCCTTCAGGGCCCGTGCTGCGACCCCCTGCCCCCACAGGAGGAGAAACTGAGGTCCCGAGGGGAGAGCGGCTGGAGGTCATCTCCGAGCCCCGGCCCGCTCCCGGTTCCCTGCCCGCCCCCTCCGCCCGAGTAGACCTCTCGGGATTCGTGCCCTCGAGAAACGGGCCTGTGGGGTCGGCCGACGCTGCTCTGGAGCCGGCGGGCGTCCGGCCCCCGCCCTCACCTCCCGGTGGGAGGACTTGTCCCCTGATGGCGAGAAACGGGTTCGGCGACGCGTGGCCCGAGGTCCCGCGGGGCGTCGTGCGGAGCCGGGTGTGAACCCGGGCCGGAGGGGCGCCAGAGCCCCCCGATCCTCACCGCCCACCTCCTCCTCCGACTCCTGGCATTTAATCCCCCAAGGCCGCTCGTCGGTTCCTGCAAAGACCCTTAACTCATTTTCTCTCCATAACGTTTAAAGGAAAGTGTTAAAACCTCCATTTTACAGACCGGTTGACGGAGCCTTAAATTCAGGACGCTCCCAGGGCCCCCGAGGGGCAGAGTCTGGATTCCTGCCCCCTGCTTTCGCTAAAGCCCCTTCCCCATGCTTGTCCCTGCCTAGGCTCTGCGGCTCTCGAGACGGAGGAAGACTCTTCCCTGGACGGCTCTGCGGGCTCTGCATCAGCCAGCGCCCCCGTCTCTCCTGCAGGACCCTGCTCTGCACTGCCTGCTGCCCCGCTGTGTCCAGGGAGGAGGCTGTCCCCTGGGTAAGGGCTGCTGCTCCTGAGCCCCTTGAGCAGGGGCTGGTGCCTTCCTGCCGCCCCGCAGAGGGGGTGGTCCTGGGGCTCAGGGTTCTGAGAGCTTACAAAGGCGTTGTGCAGGAGGGGCCTGGTGGAGAAGATGGGGCTGGGTGTGGGCTCAGAAAGGCCTGGGCTCAGATCCTGACTCAGCCCCTCATTAGCGTGTGACCCTGGGTAAGTTTCTTCATTCTCCTGAGCTCTCCTGTTCTTCAAGTAGGGAAACTGCAAGAGCTCTGGAAGGACAGAGGCCTCGGCTGTGTTTTTCTCTGTTTTTGAGCCCACAGTGCCTGGCACATAGTAGGTACTCAGGTGGTATTTGTGGGGTGAATGAACAATTGAGGCATTTTTACCAGAAGTTGCTCTTCCTGGGGAGTCTGTTGATGGTGGGAGATGGCATCTTGATATGAAGCGATGATAGAGCTCGGGGTTCGGGCCTGGCTGGGCCGCTTCCTCTGCCCGGGCGGGTAGTGGGCTACCAGGGGCTTCTCTTCCTGGCTCGCCTTCTGCCCGTTTCTGCCCCTGCATTCGAAAGTGACGGTGGGCTGCCTGTGCCCTGGTCATTGATGGTGCAGGGAGAGGAAGTGCTGAAAGCCTTTCTCCGTGTCTGGAGGGTCCACCCGTCCCTTCCAGACCCTGGCGCTTTCCCACACCTGCTCCCTCCCACCTTTTAGATGCCCCCCCGTCACCCAGGTCCAGCTTATTAAGCACTCTGTGTGTGAGGCTCAATGCTGGTTTCTGTGAGGCTTTAAAAAAGGAGGATAAAGCATGGGCTGTGTCTCAAGGAGCGAGGGGCTAGTTGTGGAGCCACTAACTGGGTTATTTCTCTCCAAGGGCTTCCCTCCAGGAAGCCACTTCTGCCTCCCTTCTCTCCCTTTTCCAGGTCCTTAGTCGAGCATGTTTCCTGGTGTGATATAGTCTGGGAAGTGGCTTGACGTGAGATGAGGGCACTAATCATACTTTATGGAAATTGTTGGTTTTCTTGTCTTTTTGCCCCTCTCGGCTCTGATCTTGAGGTCAGTGTCTTAGTCTCACCTCTCCTTAGGCCCAGCGCCTGGCAGGTGTCCAGCGTTCAGGAGCTGCGGAACAAATGCACAGCAGGAGAGAAGAAAAGGAGAGACACATCTTGTAAGGTGGCATGGCTCATCACATGGAAGATCTGAGAAAGACTACACATGAGCCAGCCAGCCAGGTGGAGGTGAGGGTGCTTACTCTATGTTCCCTCCTCTTGGAATTGCTCTTATCCCTTGAAGTACTTATCCATTGGAGGCCCCTTGGCATGAGATGGAGCCCCGGCCACCACGGGAGGACTTTGCCCATGGCCTGCGGTTCTGGTGGCAGGAACCAGAGCAGTACTGAAATTGGACCAGGCTGGTATAAATAGAAACCAGACCTCACCTTCACAGGTGACCTGAGGTCCTGCTGCCCCATGCCCTCCTCATGCATGCTGGGCACTGCCTGTCCAGTGCTGCCCACTCCCACCTGTCCTGGATTTTACATCCTGTTCAAGATCCGGCTTCCAGAACCTCTTCAGTTTCATCAGAGTTTGCATGAAAGATGATCTGAAAAACCCTCTTTGCCACAGATGATCTATTGTCCCATGTGGAGCTGTAAACTTCTTTCCTGTTCATGAGAAAATGGTGCGGCTTCTGGGTTAGTAACAACAGCCCACATTTGTGAAACAGCTAGCTACGGTGCCATATACTCTGTGTGTGCCTCCCAGGACGTGTGGTGTCCAGGTGACATCTAGATTGCTTATCCAGGGCTTCTTGTTTATTGCAGAGGAGGCAGCTCGGTACAGAAGGGCCCTTGAGAGGTGTCTCCATCGTGTCAGGAAGCAGCTGGACCACAGTGCTCCCGAGGTGAGGTCTGTCCTCTGGAGATCTGGGGCTTTGCATCCCACAGGTGCATGCAGGTTCCCTGGGTGTGATGTTCTCTGGGAAGTAGAGGAGACATGAGCGTGGCTTTGTCCTGGCCCTCAGTTTTACCCTCTGTGGCCTTTGAGAATGCATCTGGTTCGTCTTTATTGCTTGGTTCTGAGAGCCCTTAGGGAGCCCTTCCTCAGATTGATATGTTGGCATTAGAATGTCTGAATCGAAAGCAGGAAGGATTTTGGCATATTCACCTGTACCGGGTCCCAGTCGCTTCTCTGCCTCCTCTTAGCTTTGGGACCTTCTCTTATCCCCGGGTTTCATCCTTCAGAAAGCAGGAATACAATGAGGCCATTTTTCTTAGGATCACGTAGCCTTGGTCTTTTACAACCTAAGAACTCCATCACTTTTCTTTCAGAGGTGTCCTCCCGTTCCTCTCCTGTCTGGGCCGAGCTGAAGGAATTTTTTTGCAGGATTAGAAGCAATTACTGGGTCCTGTGCTCGGTCAGACTGACTCCTCCAGACCTCTGCCGTTGCCTCCTTTTTCAGCAAGCCCTCTGTCCTTTTCTGCCCCTGCATTTGGAAGTGATCATGGCCGCCCAGGTCCTGCTCATTGGTAGTGCAGGCAGAGGAAACATAGAAAGGGTTGTCCCGTGTTTGGAGGGTCCACATCTTTACCTTCCAGTTCCGGGAGCTTTTCCACATTCCTCCTTCTCCTCTACACACACCTTGGGCCTCCAGGGCCTTGGGGGCTGTCGTATGTGCATTGGTGTCGTTGTTGGGGCTTTCACTTCCTGCCCCTGCTGTTGGGAACCAGGTTATGTGTGTTGCTTAAGTTCCCTCTTCATGCCCAACTCAGTTGCTGTGAGTCAGCCGTGGCACACTCCCACACACCTGGCCTTGGCATCCTTTTCAGCCTGTCACTGATTAATTACATGTTAATCAGTGTTGGCCACCCTACCATGGGCCACCCACTGTCTCCCTCTTTAGAGTTAACTACCATCCTTTTTATGAGGAAATAGTGGGTCTGTTCTGGAAATAATAACAGCTGACGTCTGTGGAATGCTTACTAACTGGTAACTACCGTGCTAAGCCCTTTCCTGATGCCGACTGTGGCCTGCTGTGAGCAGGGAGAAGTCAGGTGCTCATTCGTGGCTTCTTTCTATTTCAGATGAATCCATTGTGTGCGGAGGCGATCACGGGAGTTGTCATGTCAGGAACATTCTAGACCTCAGTGTTCTTGACGTAAGATCTCTAGAGGGTCCATTCTCTGGAGTTCCTTGCATCCGGTATAGTCATGTTTGTATCCCATGGGCTTTCGGTAAAGATGTAGGGGAGCTGAGAGTTGAGATGAAGGTATCGTCCACGAGTCCCCAGATTCAGTCACCACCCCAGCCCCAGGCAACCTAGATCACTTCTGGCCCTTCACATGTCTTCAGCAGCTGCTGCAGGGCTGGGGCCTCCGGAGTCCCCTTTGGGTAATGAGAACTGTCTGGGGTATCTGCCCTCCCTCCCTGGAGTGTCAGCAGAAGCCTATTGTCATGGAAAACGGGTGGACCTAGGCATCAGAGACTACTGTGCTGGGTTTGAACCCCCTTCTGCTGCTATTTTAGCCAGTGACCTATTCAGAACCTTCTTTTCTTCATTTGAAAAACAAAGCTATGAGAGGTGACTTTTGTGGTACTTACACCCACATGATTCCTATCGTTTTCAACCTTAATATTTTCCCAATGTTTTTGCCCTAAGTGGCTTCTCTTTGACTGGCAGGGAGGTTCTATGGGGCTTTCGCAGGAAAGAATGGCCATTCCCGGGGTCCTGTGCTCGGCTGGGTTGTTTTCCCAGACTCAACTTATTCTTCAGGCTGCTGGCGCCTGCTTCTCTTCCTAGATCTCTCTCTGCCCTTGTACACACCTGCATTCAAAAGTGATCACGGGCTGTCTGTGCTCTGGTCGTTGCTAATGCAGGGAGAGGAATTGTTGAAAGCAGTTTCCCGTATTTGGAGGGTCCACACCCGTCCCTTTCAAATGCTGGCGCTTTCGCACACGCCCGCCTCTCCAGCAGTGCTTTCCACTCTGTGGAAGGGCAGGCACTGTGGGCTGCTGGGCGAGAGTCAATGACAGGAGACTTCTTAGCTTGGCCTTTCTTGGCTTGGCCTCCTGTTACCCGAGCCGGGCTATGTCTGTGTCAAGGTTTAGGTACCTTAGGGGGTGTAAGGGGCCAGGATGAATTATGCATAATGATTAAGTGCAGTGTTGGATGGTATAAGATTTTCAAAGGGAGGCAGCTTTTTGGAGGTGGTGGACCCGGGCAGGCCTTTGAAGGGGTGGGATGTGATAGGCGATAGGAAGGTATTCGAGAGGGGGCAGCAACATGAGGACGACTTGGAAGCTGAGTGAGCATGAGTGCCTCATGAGCACCGGCGTGAGATGGATGTGCAGGCAGGTAATGACAGTGTGGGGGGCCAGCTGCTGAGGTGGCGTCCTTCCCTCCCAACATGTTGGCTGGGGCCTCAGTGGGAGGAGCTCTGTCAGTTACCGCGTCTGCTGTGTTGCCCTGAAAAGGCCTGTTTTTTTAAGGCCGTGTTCATTTTGACTCTTCTCTGGGAGCATTGAGATTCTCTTTTGAGCGGGGTTTAGTGTGGAAAAAAACCTGGCAACTCATCCCTGATTAATTGGGGGCATTCTCACTGATGTCAGCTTGAAGAGAGATGAGATAACATTGGAGACCAAACACTCATCATGACCCCCTGCTCTGTGGCCTCCTCGTCATTCTAGGGGCACTGCTGTGGGTCTGGACATTGTTGGAGGAAGCCTCAAGGCGGTGGAGGCACTCGCCCTCTCAGGATGCTGACCTGGGTCGAGCTCTCCTGGGGAGGCCTCCTTGCGGTGAGTTAATGCCGAGGGGCTAAGTGGGCCTGCGTTTCTGAGATGGAAATGCCAAGCTGCTGGCCTTGTTGACTTTCTCTGGTAGGTTATTTTGGGGTTGATCGTGGACACTGCAGCAGAGTGAAGAGTGATGCTGCCACGTGATGCCTTGCCAGACCTTCTTACCCTGTTGCCTCAGCACGACAGAGGAGGACTTTTCCCTCAGCGTGAGTGGGGTCTCAGGGATTATGTCCAGAGCTGGCTCTGCCCTTCCCCAGCAGTGTCACAGAGTGTCGTGGACCAAGAAGACTGGTTTCCTTTCATCTGGGCCAGGTCATCCAGTGGCCTCTGTGTCCCCCTGCGTACTCTGGTGTAAATTTTTAGAACCGAGAGTTTTCTGTGCTGTGCATCCTTGTCCTCTTGCCCCCCAATAAATCTTGTAACTGCCTTCCTGCTTGTTTTTGTGTTTTTCTTATTTTTTTAAGCCAATACCTCCATGTGCTGGCAGGGCTGATGTAGAGAAAGTGGGTCACAGGGCAGATCTTCCAGTTTTCATTCATTAAGACTTCCCACTTAGCACACTGCAAAGCCTTGACCTAGGGGCTAGGAGGTGGGATGAGGAATTTAGATTAGGGGTTGAACAATCCCAAGTGCTTCTGAGGAGTTCAGGTTTAGGAGAGGAGGGAACTGTTAGAATTGAGTTGGCTGAGGGACATTTGGGCCGGGGCTTTGGAAAAGAGGATGAAGGTGGGGTGGACTTAGAGAGTCAGTGGCTGAAGTCCTCGAGGAAGGCAGGAGGGCCCTGAGCTCTGGGGGTGAAAGCACACTGGGTGGATTTAGGGCGATGGTTTTGAGCAAGGGTGGGAGTGGGGTGTACGAGGAACAGCTGCCCTTGGGAGAACTCAGGGGCTGTGGTAGGCAAAGGCCAGGAATTGGTGTTCCTGTTACTGTTATCGTGAGGTGGATTTGCTCTTTGGGAATTACATTCAGTAACAACATTGGCAATGACGTGCTTCACCACCCTGTGGGCATGCGTTACTCTGTCCTCATTTTGCAGGTGCAGTCCACATAGAAAGCCCCAGTAGATAGTTGTATGTCATAGTTGCACATCCTTCTAGTTGCTGTATGTGGGACGCGGCCTCAGCATGGCCGGAGAAGCGGTGTGTTGGGGCGCCAGCAGGGGAGCGCGCACTTAACTGCTAAGCCACGGGGCCAGCCCAACTCTCTGTCCTCATTTTGCAGGTGCAGTCCACATAGAAAAACGCTCACAAAGGCCGTGGTGGAGAGGGAGGGGTTGATTGTCCTTTCCTTTCATTGAGATTGAAATCACCTTGAGGGGCTGAGGTAGAGAGCAGGTGGTCAGGCCCGCCTGCGTGAGTTCAGCACCTTGATGGCCTCTCAGTGGGAGGCGCTCTTGGGAGCTGAAGGGCCTCCTCTGCCCACCAGTTCCAGCAGAGGTCTTTATTTCTCCTTAACTCCTCCCCAGGAACCATCCGACATCTCCCATTTGCTTTTTGAAGATCTCCCACCTACTCCAGCTCCTCTGTGCCAGTTCATCCAACCATGGCCCTAGTCCCCTAGTGAGAAACGAATGCATTTCCCAACTTGGCCAAAGCTTCTTCCTTTTCAGTGAAGTTTTCCAGTTGCTTGTTGCCTTGACATGCGCAGACCTCTCTCTTCAACAATACCGTCCACTCATTGCTCAGCAGTTTCCCGTCAGCTTTCAGTAGCAGCATCCGTACCTCGTTCACATCCCCTTTATTCTGTTTATTCTCTCACAGTTTTCTTGACCCTCACCTCAGTCCTGTATCCTGGGGGTCCCTGATGTCCTTTCGCCCTATAGGAGGGGACAATGGCGGAGTGCTGGGAAGGGAAGAGGCGAGAGGGCCGTGGCTGGTGAAATAGGGGCGGGCAGGGGAGTCTCAGCTCTAGAGGAGGGATCACTTACTGTGGCTCCACCCAAGGTCACCCAAGTTTCCTTCCTAATCAGCCAGATGGTCAATTGGTGAAGGTTTCACTCATTGCTTGCCCTGTTTCCATGGCATCCAGCATAATGACTGGATGTGGGGGTCAGTGAAGTAAGGCATGAGAGGTGCTTATCACAGCCCCTGGCCCACGATAAGCACTCAGTGAAGGACAGCTCTTCTCAATCATTAACTTGTTCACTTTCCGATTGTAAATGATCCTCAGCCCTGGCCCAGCCTGTTAGGTCTGCCCTCCCCTGCCCTCTGCCACCCTCGCATGGAGTTCCCATTCTCAAAGGGTGACATGCAGGGCCCTCCTCACTGCCCGTGGTCTGCCTGTCCACCCTCATCTCGTGCCTCACTCCCCACAAGCACCATAGGCCCCAGCCACACTACTACTTAAAGTTCTTGAACATGCTCTCCTTTCCCTGGCCTGTGTGCATCCTCCATTTCAGACGCTCCCCTGACAGCTGGTGTCACTTCCTTCCGGAAGCCTTCATTGGCTAAACCTCCCCCCAGACTGGATTCCCTGCCTCTCCTTCATTCATATCAAGGGCCAGTTATGTGCAGGCACAATTCTAGGAACTGGTAAACAAAAGGCAAAAGAGTGAACCCCCGCCTTTATGGTGCTCACATTTTAGACGTCAAAGACATACCATAAACCAAATACTAAAACGTGTAGTATGCTAGAGAAGGACTCAGGGAACGGGCAGACAAGAGGCCTCCAAGGCCACTGCAGGGCTGCACCTGACTATGAACGTCTGCTATGTGGTGAGGGTGGAGCCAGATCAAGTTGGGATTAGCTAGTCAGACCAGGCTGTGCATGCCATGAGGGCAGGCTCTGCACCTGTCAGCTCTGCAGCCCTCCCCCCCCACAATCACAGCTTGGTGGACTAAGCACAGTCACTCAAGGGCAGGCCTAACCCGTGACCTTGATAGGCCTAACTCATGACCTTGGTCTAGGATCAAGAGCAGTGGTAACCAAGCCGGGAAGGTTTTTCTCTTGGGAAGTTCTGAATATGTTAAGAGCCTGAGTAATTGGTTATAGGAATAGAAACAGGAAGGGACAGAGGAATTGAGTTTCTTTAACAGCAGAGTCGAAAGGTGCAGAGCATTGAGCTCCTGTTGCAGGTGAGAGAACCATTTCTAGAACTCTTATGGGGGGAGGATGATATTCCAATTTCCAAATCATGTTCATACTCCACAAGGCTTGGCTATGAGCAGCACTCAGACTTGCCACGACGGCTGAGAGTTCAGTTTTCCCTGAATTTTTATAAGGTGTGGCCAAGTGACCAAAATTCTTGTCTTCCTTTTCTCTATAAGAGACCTTACATTCACCACCACTGTGCCGTTACTAGAGGGAGCTAAATGAATCTCTGCTCATAATAGTCTAAATGGTGTTACTTACCAGCATAGTGACTGACACATGCAAAGAGCTAATCATCATTTAAGGATGAGGAATAAAGCCAGTGGTGGCCTTGACAGTGTGCATGAGGAATAGCTCACTGAGGCCCCTCCGCCCCTATGACTACGACTGTCATGTCACCAGGACACCTAACTCTGCCTGTATTGGGAAGCAGCCTAGTGAAATCATTAAGAGCCTGTTGAATTCTGATGTTCCCTAGTTTCTATGGGGCTTGGAGCACGTTCTTTAGCCCCCTTGAGCCTCAGTTTCTGGCTCTGTAGTTTGACCATCAGAATTGCACCTACCTCAAATAGTAAGGATTAAATAAGATGATGCATGTTAAATGCGTAACACAGTTCCTGCCTCATACTGAGTGCTCAGTAAATGTCGGCTATTTTTATTTGATGAGCACATCTAGCATGTTGATAGTCAAAATGAAGAACAAATACAAAATGTCATTATGACAGACTCATCTCTTAACGTGATAACATGAATACCTTCTTCTTTGCTAATTTGCAGACATCCCAGTGGGGCTGGTGTTAATCATCGCTACCATTGATTGAATTTTATTAAATGCCATACACTGTACTAAGTAAGCCTGCATATATAATTACCTCATTTAATCTTCACAACAACCCAGTGAGGTAGATTTAATTATCCTCCATTTTATAAATGAGGAAACCCAGTCTCAGAAAAATGAAGGGACCTGTCTCACTTCTAATGAGTGGCTCAGCTGGTTTTCCATTTCCTGGAGTATTAAGTAGTGAAAAATGTTGCAGGCTGATTTCATAAATAGCATGAGCATACCAGGCTGTCAGATGCTTGTTTGTACTGGAAATTAGGATATTTTACTATTCCCTCCATCTGCTTCAAATTATTGCCTATTATCCAGTCTTCCTAAAATATTCCCCAACTTAATCAACAGTCTTGAGGATTGAACTTGTGAACCTGAGATGTACAGAGAAAAGAGGCTTGTTTCAGCTAACGCCAAAATATCTTGTCCCTCTCATTACTGTTATGTCTGAAGCAAGAGTCATCCTAGGTCTTCTGAGCTTGAGGAAACCTTTGTAGGGTATTACCTAGGTGGCCCGAAAACCAGGATTAGGGTTATGAAGAGCCATGATCCCATTAGAAAATCAGTGCATGGTACCAGAGGCCCTGGTGAAGCAGCTGGTGGGAGTTATATAGCAGAATCAAGCCAGGAGAACAGAAAGCTGAAAGAATGAAGGTTCATTTGTCCATTCAAAAAATATTTATTAGGCACTGTGTTGAGAATAGGGATACAATGATGAATAAGAAAATTTCTGCCTTCAAGGGGATCACATACAAGTATATAGATAATAAATTCTGTTAATTCACACTCTGGGTATTTACAGAACAGTCATTATGTGCTGGGCCTTGCTCTATGCTGGGCATACAGCTCTGAACAAAACTGAAGGGCCTCGTGGGTCTTATAGTCCAAAAGAGCACTGTCCAATAGAAACATAATGCAACCTACATATATAATTTAAAATTTTCCTAGTAGCCACATTAAAGAACTAAAAAGAAGCAGATAAAATACATTTTAGTAATATATTTTATTTAACCTACTACATAAAATAAATTGTCATGTCAACATATAATCAATGTAAAAAATTATTAATGAAATATTTTACATTTTTTTCCCAAACTAAGTCTTTGAAATTTGGTGTATATTTACACTTATAGCACATCTCGGTTTAGACTAGCCACATTTCGAATGTTCAGTAGCCTCATGTGGCTGGTGGCTACATTATTGGACAGCATAGACCTAGATGATGAGGGCTTCAAGGCTAATTCCATGAAAGGAGAGTGATGCGAGGATGCCTCCTTTACAGGAAGGCTGCTGCATCTTGTAGGGGCTGAAAGAATCTGCTGCAGCCTGGGTCCCCCATTCTCTGGTATTCCTCTTCCCCATCTTGGCAGAGTGGGGCTGGGTATATACCAGGTGTACCTGATGGAGTCTCACTTCATGTTCCAGAGCCTTCTGGAGGCAGGATGCCAAGTCCAT